ATATGAAGTTGTTGACTCAAGAGTACCCTAAAGACACTGTTTATAAACTGTTAAGAGTTTAATAGTTCTATTGAGAATTCTATTAATAGAGACTATTAAGATTAAAATTGGGGAAAAAAATTGGAAAGTAGTTAAAAATCAAGATTTATCGCTTTAAGGATCCTTAATCGGATCTGGACTAAAAGTTGCAATAATTAGAGAATGAGTGACATCATAATCAATGGATATGTGGTAGTTTGCTGCTAGAATAAGCTAAAATCTTTGTATATAAATAACCTACAAGTTGCCATAGATATCGATAGAATAAAATTGAAGATCACGAGAAACACTTATGAGACCGATCTTCTCGATTTCATTTAATCAAAAACTGTGGAATTTGTTCATGGAAGCATAATAGCAAATAAAGTAAAAGCAGAGGTACAAGTCACTTCCGGTATGAACAAGTCTAAAAACGCTTTTATTGAACTTAAAGTTATAAAGTTCAACGACTGATCTAATTATTATTAGGGATAGGCTGTGTATACACTGCGACCTGAGAGATCTTTTATGCAATATGACTGATATTAACCTACGCCTATTCAATACCCGTTCTATTTTATATTAGCGAAATTCGGAAGAATACTATTACAAGCCACGTAAAAATTCAAAATTTTTATTATGATACATCTCATTTGGTGACCTCAGACACCAAACTGTAGGTTTCAACTCGTAAATTTAAAGCTCGCAAATCGTAAAATTTAAATTAATTTTAAAGAATTTAAATTCGAAAAGAGAGATGATACCGGATTTAGCATACTTTTAGAAATATTAATAGAGTCAGGTATCTTGAGCAACATTTTCTCATACATACATGTACTTCTTAAGATATCTAGGTTGGATCTTATACATGCATACATTGATTATGTTCACATAAACTACACAAGCCATTTAAAGGCAACTCTAGTAAAAGCATTTTTGGTACGTTAATAATGACGAGATAGTTAATCAGCTCCATAAAAGATTAAAAGTATATAACTCTAGCATGAAAACTCAACAAAAAAAGACAAATAAAGAGTAACAATCAGTATATAGCCCATACTATATATTATATAGCCCAATGGCTTCTCCACTTATTGTTATTAGTTTTCATGCATATATATATATTATAGGTATATTGTTTTTTGCTGATTTAATCCACCTACTGTCTTTACCATAATCTAATGTCATACCTGGGATATGGAAATCTTGTCAACAACATTAGTCTGGTGGTCGAATCTGGTGAAACCAAAGCATCTGTCCAGATTTGAGACAAAGGCTTAGAACTCTAGTTACAAAATAATGTACCGTTATGAATTAACACTAAATGCTTCTAACTACATCTAGCTATCAGATTTTTATATATAGCAGTGGGTCTATGCTTCACCTAACAGGACAGAAAAAGATCATCATAATCATTTTTATCATGTATTGGTTGACAAATATATTTTTTTTTCTAAAGATTAAGAATTGAAAAATTTCATGGCCGGCATTTTTAAATGAATATCTCTCGATGTTGAGATTACTTAACCGATTTTTTATTTAGCTATATTGGCTTTTCTTGATTCTACACTTTTTTGTTTGGTTTTATTGATTTTTCTTGGTTCTACACTTTTTTTTGATCATAAATTTATATATAATCTTGAATTAGACATTTCATAGATACTATTATATGAAATACATATTTTTATTTTAATTCAAACTTAAAATTTAAATTTTTTTATAAAATTTTCCTATTAATTTTCATTAAATCTAACTAGAAATATACTCTTTTTTCATATTATATATGCATTTAATATAATTTCATTACTAATCTCTAATTAATATCATTCATCTCTTCATCTTTCTAACTAACAATATCTCAAGATCTTACTTTACTATCAAAGACTAATTTTTCTTATAAGGTTTCGGTCAACTAAATCAATCCTCGCCGCTTTCATCTACTTTGAATAGTGGTCTAAATTCTGGTATTAATATAGGTTCTGCAATGGGTGCTGGCAGTTATCAACATTATGGACTTAATGCTTTGGGTATGTCTACTAATTTATTTCATTTTTTTATTTTTTCTTTTTTTAAATTATATATTTTTACTTAATAAGTTTTTAAGTTTTTGCTTCCTTTGTGAAATCATAAAAAAAAAATCATGGCTATTTTGCTACTGATTTTATTGTTAATTTTATTTTAATCACATGACCACATTTTATGGAATTTTACTATAAAAAAATTACGACAATATAAAAATGATAACAATTAATAAAAAATAAAATTCAACAAAAAAAATAAAAGATAAAACCAAATGACAACTTTGCACTTTTAGAAATTTTCGTCAACGATTTTTTGAGAATTTATTAAACACGATTTAAATTTCAAATTTATTTATTTTTTTATTTTTTTTTTTTTTTGAAATACAAATGACAAGAAGAAAATGGTAGCAACACCATTTAGTGTTTGTGATAGCAATTAACATCCCTGCTTCATGCCCGCCGAAGAAAAATCTGAAACAGTATCAAGGAATTGTTTTCAGTCGGCTTATGTATCTGTAGCTGTATCTATATCTGTATCTGTATCTTTATTTGTATCTGCAACTTATTTTCGACAAAAACGTCGACTGTTTGTTTTCGTGCAGATGTGCTAATTGTTATTTTGGAGACAAGTTCACGTTAAATTTATTGTTATAATTTTTTATTGAAATTTCGTGTCGTCTTTCTGGACAAGCGAGCAAATATTAAAAATTTTTGTACTAAAGAATAATTTTTTTTCTCTTTTTTCTTTTTTCTTTTTTTTTGGTTTAGGTGATTCTATGATGTATCAACACACGGTAGGTGGTGTTGGTTGTGGAGCTGGTGGATCACCCACAGCAACCACACCGCCAAATATAAACTCATGCTCATCCGTAACGCCACCGCTCTCCAATCAACCTAGTCAAAGTGAACTAAATAGCGATCAAATGGTAAGAATTTAATTTAAATTTCTGTTTAATTAAAATAAAAAAAACGATTAGTGATTATTGATTTAAGTAAAGGCAATTATTTTGAACAATTTTTTTCACTAAGCTGTTTGTCAATATTTTTTAGTTTTCAATATATCGGGCGTTAGAGTTGGGAATTCTTAAATCTGACCCGTCTGTTTATTATTAACTGCTGTTTGTATAATCAAAGTAAAAATTACATATACTTGTTAGCACTAGATGGCATGTTTCGATCTATTTATCTACCAGACCAGGGTTGTCCAGACCAGATGCGATCGGGGGCCAATACAATTCAATGTACAGATTGGAGGGCCGTAGAAACAAATACATTCATAATTGCTTTCGACAAAAATAAAAATACGGTTGAAATGTTGAATTTAGTTTTTTTAATTTAAATTAAATAAAGTAGTTTTACCAATACACCAAAAGAAAATTTGCGTACTTGTGATAGATTAAAAAAATATTGTGGGCCGCACAGATATTAGCCGCGTACCGTTTGTGGCCTGTGAGTCATGCTTTGGACTGCCCTGTACCAGATAATCTAAAATTTACCATCACAAGCAATAAAAATAATACAGTAATGCAAGTACCGCTTATAGGGATTTTGAATCTAAAACGAAATATGTAAGTCCATAAATACAGCATAAGAATTGCTACAGCAATTTTGACAGGGTACTATAGGTTACAGTAGCACCCTACAAAATTGAGAACTTATTCTAATCTAATTTGTACATTCTGCTGTAAAGTGAAGTGTAATGACTCTGCATTCTTCTCGTCATGCTATCATAAAATACGTTCTTTAAACAATAAAAATCAAAACTAATATAGACCTGATAAAGGATATAGCTATATACCTATATCAGACGTAGACATAAATGAGCATCTCATATAGGATCAAGAAATAAGGTTCAGTATATTAGGGTCAATACTTTTATTTATCAAAAAATTTTAACTTAAATAAATTAATGGATAGATATCTTAAGTCGAATACCAAATCCCCAAACTTAATAACAATACTTATAACTGTAGATATATAACAATACTCATATATATTCTAAAGCAGTAGTGAAAACTTAACGACACATTTGGCTCACTTGGCTCATTTATTAGATCTAATTGTAAATCAGATGTGATAGCAAACCAATAACAACAACACATAAAACAGTAACAGAGGTAATAATTTTCGCAAACAGCATATTACTAATCTGAGAATAGAAATGTCATTTACAAATCGGTTTTGCATTTATATTTGAAAATTATTGTAGTCAATATATGTAGACAAGTAGTATAGAACTCTCATAAGCAATGTACAAAGCAAAACTCATTGACAAGCACTAAGAAATTACACAAACAACTTTCGTTAGTATTTGGGCCCAAAAATAAAAATAATGAAACTATGAGTAAATATCAATATGATTCGTTGTTTTGTAGATATGATTCTGAATTGGTGCTGTTATTTGGCACTATTAATAAATGTTCACCAAGAAATCATTGATACTAAAGTCGCTAGAGCAATCAGAATTGATGATATTTATCACAGTTGATACACCATATATGTATGTAAAGACACTTACTTATTACTACAATTTTCACTTCCCCAAAAATATCAATTTTATTCGTTAATATAAGTTGTAATTTAATGTCAATTATGACGGAAGTAACCATTTTATTTTAATAGAAATTAATATTAGTTTCTAAACCTCTATACTAAATTTTATTTGTTAATATATACCCAAAGGGAAAATTGAGCATTACCACTGAATAAAATCTGATGCCAAAAATCGCCACTATTTCTATAAGTTTTTCTACTTTAGTACGTTTAGCGTATGCTATACGATCGACATTGTAAGATGGCAAACCTTAAATTAAACAAACTATGTTGTTATTGTTGTAACCCGCTGGGATCTGCTTGTGACCCCTTTATGGGATGTTGAACACAACCAGGTCGTCTTCGACTTGTGGCTCGGGGACATAGACCCGGCCGTTTTTGGAAGCAAACAAACTATGTCTTATGTGGCAGTTCTATTTAACATATTTTACTAAAATAGTGCTATCAACACAACGAATAGATGATCCGTTATAAGATAATACAAATCACATTTCAAAATAAAACAAATAGATATAGATTTATGAAAAACTCATTAAAAAAGTATGAGAAAACATATTATGTTATATACTTGTATCAAACATGTGTAAATATTATTTTATTTGGCAAATAAACTGATACGATATTTTCTTCAGTACATTCCTTGGTTTAGGATTAAAATAGTTTTAGCCTTGTTGAATTTTTTCAACCACAAATTTTAATTTACTAAATTAATATAAGTAAAAAGTTAATCTTAAGGAAGTCATTATGTTGCTCTTCCTATTTTTTGTTTCTCGCTCATGTATTAGAGTAGCACTAAAACGCTTTTTAAAAGCATTATGAAAATATAAAATATTTTGAAGTATATAAATTAATTGACTTTATTAAATATTTTAGAGAAATTGATATCAGATTATGTTTTAATATAAGCAATTAAATAATAGTACTTTTACTGCTGCTATCTTCGGACCGAAAGTTTATATAAACTACAAACCAAAGAAGGGTTTCTTCTTGAGTTGTGTTCAAGCAAAAAGCAGTAGCTGTCAGTGAAATCCAATAATTATTTCATATGATATCACTAGACAGATTATAGCTGGCTTTAAGCTAATACATGTATCAAAAACACAAAGTCTGAGATATACTTCAAATTGATTTCATCAATTGTAATACCTAAGGCACAACTAAGCTACAATCGCTGGCTATAGTAGGTAGAAATGTCAAAAATATAGCTAAGCAAATGAAATCCACTGCTGGGATGTAAGAGACGTCAAGAATACAAGAAAACAAAATGGCTGACTATCTCGCCAAACGATATTCTGTCCTCCAACGAAAGGACGCATATATAATCTAAAAACTTAGATACTGGGATTTCTTCTAATTCAAAACCTAATTCTGTTTTTACTGTTAGTAAAATATAGTTAACATTATAATTGTTCATAGTAATTTTTTAAATATCTTTCTTTAAATATCTGTCTCTTATAGTTAAAATACTTAATATAGAACCTAAAATTGGTTAACCTGTAAACTGACGTCAAATAAAAGTTAAGAGAATCATCAATCTATCTAAGACCATTTTGAATAGACTCCTTGCACTAAGAAAAAGTGTTATCAAAATAATAACCAGGTGTTTGACAGCCTACTGTAAAGTGAGATACCATCAATTGGAACCTTCACACATCAGCATTTTCGCATTTGAGGAATAGATATTAAAAAGCCTGAGCATATTCTAAGTGAATGCTCTAGACTGAGTGCTTTAAACTGCTTCTTATAAGATATAGAACAATACAAAATTATCAAAGCTATTGATTTGCACAGAAACATTAATAATTGTTGAAACGACTGTGGTTACCCCAATAGAGCACCTGAGTTACAGTGTACATTAATCCACACTTAATAAAAAAAAATAGTAGATAACTGTAACATCAAGCTCAAGTATACAATACACTTGTTTAAAAATTAAGTAAGATATAAGAAAATCAGTTGAGAGAGTATCTAAAAATGGAACAGATAAATTTTAAAGAAAAAGAGGAAAAATATCAAGTGAGATTGGGTTGGAGGGCAGCCTTGAACATCAAAGCTGACACAATATATATTTCTAGCGCACCTCAATTTGATAATAGCTTTATATTTAATGGATTTTTAAAAGCAGTTAAGACTAATGAAACTATTTTCGTAATATATGGTAAGCTACTATTTTTAATAGTGAAATTTTCGGTTTGAGGTTTTGTAAAGTCACCTATTCTGAAAAATTATAACCTCTATGCCAACATAACTTAATTCCCTAGATCTCAAGACCAAAAAAATTAACTACTTGAGACATTATGATATTACAGTATATGAACGATATACCTGAAGGACCATTTTAAAGATAGTACTTCGAAGTTATGGGCAAGCCGTAAGCCCATTTTTGTAGATCTCATCGTTGGGCTCTGTAGGGTTCTTTGCAACACACCATACTATTTCTTATTTTTTATTTAAAAAAGTCCTTGTGCTACGTTCGCTATCATTGTTGAAATAATATATAGTTGTAATTAGTTATAGTTACTACTGTAATGACAACCAAGTATTCTCGATATCTGGTCTAAAATGTGACAATTCTTTTTAAATTGATTTTCGAAAGAATTTATCGATATTAAGCAAAGACACCTTTACTTTCTTCTAAACTTAAAATTTATCAGAGAGATTTGAATAAAGTGGTATCTGCCAATCATTGGCTATGGGGTTTCATTGGCTATGTAAAACTGGGGTTTTACATATAAATGTTTACCCCTTTTATGTTGATTTAGAATTATTTAGTTTGCTTTGTGGAATATATGCAAGGGTATTATGTTTTGCATGTGCGTGTTGTTACATCCATGACGGTTTTAGAATTTATCGACTCTTGATGTATAAGATACCAATGCTTAAAGAAAAATTCATAGAACGTGCAAGTGTACGTCTTGTCCTTTAGGTCTTGTATTAAATTTTGGTATTGAAAGCATATACCTATGTTGCTCTCAGAGAATTTCATAATAGGTCTTTGGAAGTTATGTCAAACATTTTGTTAGATATATAAATGTCATGAGATTTTTCTTTTTCCTTACAAATTTTTATTTGTATATATTTAATTTTGTATTTATATGTATTTAAATTTTTGTTTAAATATATTTAAATATTTGTTGATACAGTCAAACTTCCATAACTC